GAAGCTCACCAATCTGATCCTACCCCAGCCCAAGTGGGTGTGGCTCAGGAACCAAGGCCTGGGCAAGCAAGGCGTTTAGTACGGAAAACCTGGACTACCATGTCTTTGAGCCATACACAACCTTACATGTAAAACAAAAAAGTCCATGCAATTGGGTAGGACCTACTGATACCTCATGTCTGTAAGGAAGCAAGCCACCACATTGCCCCCACCCACAAAGAGTGATATCGTACTATATACTGAAATCGCCCAGAAAACAAAACCGGTTGGACCGCAATCATGTTAGGGCTTACACTTCGACCGCCGGTGTCCCAGAACACGTGGCCCAGCAGCGACCGATCCCAACGAGTTCGAGCACCAGCGACCGAGGCTGGGCTCCTCGTTCAGCGGTGCAGGTGGATCTCGAAGTCCTGCAAACAGAGTCGTTGCAAGGTCACTGGCCATGTGACCTTTTCCAAGCTGTGGTTGAATTCCGAGCCCAGGGCGAAGGTCAACGACTCGAGGGCGAAGGGCCACATGACGTCAGCCAAGCTTTGGTTGAACTTGTAGCCCAAGCTCAAAGAACGCAAACTGCTCGGCAAGGCAAGGCCCGCCAAGCTGCAGTTGAACCTTCCCCTAATGTCAAGGTCTCCACGCCGCTTGGCAGCAGAACATTTGCAAACTCTGGTTGAAATGTTGGCCAAAGGTCAAAATCTGTAAGACATTCGATGATCAAACTTGAGCCGCCTTAACTTGTGTGTTTTCAACCCATACAAATATAGTATTTACATGTATTTCAATGGTATGAGTCGTATGTTCTTTTGAAGCGCTGTAGTTTTCGATGTTTTCTCAAAAAGAATGCTTGAACCTTCACCGTGACGAGCCTTCACCGTGACTTGACCTACAAATACCTTGAGTCCTCCCGTGTCTGTCCCAACTGTAGACGACTGAATATTAGAGGTGGACTACAGAAGCCACAGGGAACTGAAACAATTGACAACGATCAACCGACCGAATGCAGGGCATTGAGGGACTCAATTACTCTCAACTTATAGAAGCAAAGAGTTTCTTGGACCCATTTTCATGGCCAGCCTTTGCGGTGGTTTTCACAGCACGGGTTTAAAAGGTACGGTTTCATCAAGCGAAAAGATTGCAAGCTCAAACCTGCCAACTACTCTTCACGCGTGTTCGCAGCAATGTCTCCAAAGCAAGCAAAGCATAGGCAGCACAGGCCTGTGCCAGACTTTCAGATCGGAGAAGGAAGCCACGCAGTTTCCCAAGTCGTAGTTCCTGGCGGCCGAAGGGCAGCTGAAGGGCTGAAGGATAACATGCTATGCTGGAAGGATTTTAATTTCAAACTGATCCTGACATCCCCACGTCCAAAAGTTCCTGGAACTCACCAAAGTTGTTCCGCACAGAGGTATTCGATCCATTTCAACATCTGCCTGAACTCTTCCGGCAAAGCAGCTTGTTTCAGCTGATTTTTGCCAGAAGTGAAACTCGGTGAAACCACAACCAGCGGCACCTTCTGGGATTTCACCAAAGGTTCTATCATATTCTAACGCTCACACTCTCAGCGCTCGCGAACCGCGCCTTGAGCTGCTCTTCGAGAGCTTCGCGAGTTTCCGGACTGATTCTGGGCGTGATTACGCACAGTCTCAGCATCAGTGTGAGCTGCGTGATCTTTCCCAGTTTGCAAATCCCATGAACACAAGCTCTGGTGCCATTGTTATCAATCCAGCAACGAATGAAACGCAATATCAAAGTGCTTAGCTGCTTCATTTGGGAAAAAGATTCCCCAAGAGTTGTCAATGCCTCATTGCCAACATGACCGCCCGTCATTGTCAAGCCTAGTCCTGTGAGCTGGGTCAATTTGGCAAGGCCCTCTGCCAAAGTCTTGACGATGGGGACAGTCTCAACAAGCTTCCTTTGTAGGTCCTCATCATCATCTTCACCTTCGATAACTTCCTGCCTCAACACCAATCTCAGGTCTGTGACCTGGATGAGCTCTGAGATGCCATGAGCCAAAGCTGTGGAGGATTCAGTCCCAAGCACGTCTTTGAAGCTCAAATGGAGACGGGTGATCATCTTCATCTGGCAAAGGTCCGCAAACAAAGCTTTGACATCTGTGGAGTACATGGCATCGACTTTGAAGATCATCAAAGGCTTCCAAAGTGCAGCCACTCCTTTCATTGCGGCGGCATCCTCGAGCACCAAGGAAAGTATTTTTGAGTAGCTGAACGAATCTGCAAACTGTACGATCCTATCTTCTACAGCTTCTCCTTCTTCTACTTCCTCCACAGTGTGCGCCAAGAACCAGAAGCGAAAGATGGATTCTGAGAGCCGAAGAGTCTTCTCACCAGGGAACAACCCGCCTTCCTTCCTTTCTAGTTTCACCTTCTTTCTGCCTTCTCCAACAAGTCTCACATCTACATGCCGCAAAAAGTTCTGCTCAGGATAGTGGCCCTGCAGCCGGACCAATGCGACCGCGAACTCGTTCGACAGCTCAATTTTATCCTGGATCAGTGCATCCAGAGCCTCTTGTAGCAACCAATCTTTCACCTGCCACGCTATTTCAGGATGAAAACGCCAAGCCAGAAGAATCCGAATTGATGGGATGAGGATATTCACGGCCACTGTGAACACCCTGGTGTGATGAGCCAATGAGATGATACAGGCAAGCACGGCTTGGGGAAGATCTTCTACGATCATTGCCCACTGCCGCGCAGGCGTGCTTTGCTTAAAAGCCACAGCGAGAAGTTTTACCCCAGTGGTGTGACCCAATGCCTGCTCCTTCTGCAACACTTTTACAGAAAGCAATGATAGGTAGCTTTGCTGTAACTCCAACCGCGTGGCTTTGTTAGGCAAAAGCAGTAACATGTGGAAAGCCCAGAGGTACATCATAGCTACGGCACCCAACACTTGCAACCACACAAAGCCTGATGACAGCGCAGCAGCAGCCAGAATCGAGTCTTTCACAGTATCAAAGGGATCTCCTAGAAAAGGGAGCACTGGCAGAGTAGCGATGGAAATGTCGACAGGGTCAAACTTCATGCTTGGGTTCATGATGCGCATGGTCAAAGCCTGTACCAGCAGCCAGCATAGACCTACAGTGAAGCAGGTATCAAATCCTTCCCACACAAGTCCAGCTGCTGTCAACTGACCTGACAAGGCTGCTGAGATGGTGACTTTGGTGCAAAGGATCAACTGGGCGGTGACCAGCACTAGAGTGAGGAAGCCAAGCTCTGCTTCTGTCATGCGATTCCCATGCTCAATTGACTCATCTTTCACAATTTGCTCAGCATCCTCACAGCTTGGAAGCTTGATGACACTCAAGACTAGCACGGACATTCCAGTTGTCAAAGCATATTTGATGAACATGTAGCTGAGCCAATATTTATTCCGAAGTTGTGAGAGATTCCAATCCGACCTCTGTGCTGCTTGTGGCCAGAGTGGCCTGGGCATGTTCAGCCACTGGACAGTGGAGTTCTTTAAAGCGAGGTCAAAGCTGCTGAGGTTGTTGAAATTGAGATCCACCGCAACGTAGTCCGTGGGGGCCAGGTCAAGGGTGGGAGCACCTGACTGCACCTCTGGAATGTCTATGTTCAAGAGAAATGGCAGGCAAAGGACAACGGCTGAGACGTTGACCATGGCCATCAATCGGGCCCGGCCTGGCACTCCGTGCGCAATGATTTCAAGAACGCACCAAAGACTAACTAAGCAAGATGGCACAAGGAAGACGTCCCAAGGCCACAGGTCTCGCAGTGCTTCTGGCCATTGGGTCCAGAACCAATTTCCTGATGACCAGAATGCAACAGCCCCCAAGCATGCCATGAAAGCTGCCTCTCGAATGAAACCCATCAATGTCCGGTATGGAATGTCCTCAGCTTTCAACTTGAAGACAAAATCATCGGACATGGGCTCGAACCCGTACATGGCAGTTGGCATGGCAAAGGCCAGGTATGCAGTGAGCTCCACGCAGAGAAATAGCAACCAATGGCCAGTCACCTGGAGCACCGGCAGGGCAAAGCTCCACACCAGCAGTCGCAGCATCCACAAAGCACAGTTTCCCGGTGGAAACCGACCCCCAAAAACACAATAATCCATCCACTCAAACCCAATCATTTCACGTGCTTCCGGGATTAAGGCCATGACCAGCAGAAGGAATCCCGGAAGAGAGAAGAGGGCCAACTGCCAAGTGAAGGTATTCAACATGGCCAGACCTGCAAGCCAAGCGATAAGGATGCCAGAAAGGCAAAGCCCAAAGCCTTTCTCTTCAGTGGATCTGGCAGTCAATAGCTTCACACCCCAAGCATCTAAGGTGGCAGCAATCGCTTGAAGCCCCAGGACATAGATGGAGACGTCATGGAACAATGGCAAGGCCAAGAGCCAGAAGTGGTGCAGAACGGGGATCGTCATCATGAACGCTAGGCTCCGATACCTAAACATTCTGTCTGTCATGTCACACCCAGGAATATGGAAGTTCACCTTCGGCCATAAGTACCACCTCGCGAACAACGCCAAATAGCTACCAAAGAGGTATCCTGGCACCGCCGTCAGGACTAGCTGCCAAGTGAATTTCTTGCAATGTGGCAGCATCACTAGCCATGCGAAGGTGATGGTACCGAGGAAGAGAGGAGGGGCACGAAACCGACATTCGACCTCATTGTGATATCTCTCGCGCTGAGCCCATGTATCTGCTGCGGCCACGCGGTCCATCTGCGACACGAGGTCTGTCCGGTTCCTAGAGCCGATCTCCCTTGAGGAGGCTTTGTTGAGCAAACCCATGGCTAGGCCAGGCAGTGAAGCATCAGCCTCATAGGTCACATAGAGCCCAAACAACACCACGCATCCAGGCAACGCAAAGAGTGCCAGCTGCCAACTGAGGCCAAACATTGAAGATCCTCCAAACCACGCCATGATGAGCCCACAAAGGCCCAATCCAAGACCGAAGCGTTGTTCACCATCGGTTCTTCGTGCGATGTGCTTCACTCCGAAAGCACCAAGACAGGAACTCACAGCCTGCGGCAGGAGGAAGTACCACGGCAAACTATCGGACCAAGGCAACAAGGGAACGACCATCAGCCACAGGAAGAGCGGGAAGAAGATGACCATGATCAGGACCAGGTGGTCGTTTTGGGCCACCCAATTAGCAAATCTCCATCTTTTGTGGGGATCAACCGGAGTAAACGCTTCAGTGCTGTGCTTCCACTCTACGAACAAAGCCAAGTAGCTGCCAAGCATGTAGCCAGGAATGATTGCGACCAGACCTACTGTTTCACAATGAGGTCGCAGTGCCAGGCCTACTTGCCATGCCAGGGTGATGATCCCCAGAAAGACTGGCAGAATATGAAGTGGTTCTTCGTCACTTCTGTGCCCTCCTCCAGTCTCTGCGTCTGTGTCTCCTTCGGAGCCTGCCAGGAGATCATACTTTTGGTCTCCACATTGGAAGGTCTTCCAGAGCAAGCCAGCAGCGAGGATGCCAGCTGCGGTAAGCAGCACAGCAGGCAACCCCACCATCATCAACCCGTTTGGAGAAGTTGCTCAAATACTCTCTACCCCTTATGTCATATCGTGAAAGAATATTCTAATGCTGTCATCAGAAATCCTTGCAGAAACTTTTAACTTGTAGTGATTTACTGTAAACCTAGCATTGGTGCTCTGTTCAATGACGAAATCTTGAACCTGTGACTTGAGATCGCCTCATTCTTGCACCCTCACCGCTTCCTGTGGAAACTCCAAGCGGCCCATCCCAGCAAATGTCAGCCCGACGTCAAAGCTTTTTTAGCAGTTCATTCTTGAGGCCTGAAAGTGCCTTCAAACATCTCACACGTATCTCGTGTCAACAACCAATCATCTAATCCACAAAAGCCTCTCAAAATACACCGAAACACCAAAAGAGTTCCACCCTTGCCTCATCAGGCACTTCTTCTCTGGGCTTGTCTACGAAGACTGCAGAAGAAGAATCGTTCGAAGAGCACAGCTGAGCCTTCACGCGGCTACATCTGCGCATCTTCGCCACTGGCGGAAGGCCCAATGGCCAAGGACCGAAGCTCGACCTGTTGCAGCGGAAAAAAGCAACAACTAAAAAGACTGGCCAACCTGAGTAGTTGTTGGCAGAGGTGGTGTACCAATCTCACTGGACACCCAACAGTAGAAAGCACAAACTTCAGGTCCTGTTGACATCAATGACATCTATCTTCCCTAAGGCTT